CGTGCCGCCAGCGGCGAGGCGCTGGGCCGAGCGCCGCGCCGCCACGCTGCCGGAGACCGCGTCCCAGGCCTCTCTCGCCGCGCCAAGCCACGCCCGGCCGGAGTGAGGGTGGGGTTGGCGCCGATGCTTCACGTGCGCTACGGATGCAGCGTGGGGCCTCAGCACCTTGCGTCTCAATTCCTCCCCGCAGCAGCGAACTTTCTTTTTCCCCGTCGCCCCGTGCTCCGCTGCCTGGCGCACCCCCCTCCCCCATGCGACACTGTTCGTGGCTGACGTGCACCCCTGGCCCTCCCCATGCGCTTCCTGCACCACATCCCTACGATTTGACAGCTGGCAGCAGTGTTCACACCACAGACAGGGTGACAGGCGGGGATCCACAGGGGGAGGGGGCGGCGTGGGCGGGAGGGGTGCGGGCGCGCGCCGCGCCTCCGGTCGGGGGTGCCTGGGGTCTCGACCCCGGCGTGCCGCGCGCCCCCACCGCGCCTCCGGCCCGTCCGCTCACTCGGAGGAGGGGGCGGCGTTGGGGTTGATCAGCTTCTTGATCTCGTCGTACAGGACCAGGACGAATGCGCCGCCGGCGCCGCGCAGGACGTTGGACAGCGCGCCCTTGAAGAAGGCGGAGGAGCCCTCCTGCGCGGCGATCTTGCGCCAGCAGTCCAGGGTGCCGTTGTACACGCGCTCGCCGCCGGACTGCATCATCAGCCTGCGGCGCACGGTGTCGAAGGGGTAGGACAGCACGCCGGCGGCGGCGGTGACGGCCTGGGCGATGGCCCACTTGCCCAGGAAGGAGGCGTTGCGCTCGTCCTCGAACACCGCGCCCTTGGCGGTGTCGTACAGGCCGAAGTAGGCGCCGCGGTAGACCACGATGCCCTGCACCGACACGCCAAAGCCCTGGTAGAGGCCGATGGGCCCGGCGCGCTTGGCGGTCTTGGACAGGCAGTCGATGAGGCCCGTGAACTCGCGGTTGCCGCCAGAGCCGACATCGGCGGCGAGGCGCGTGCGCGCAAAGTCCAGGGGGTAGACGATGAGCAGGGAGCCGGCGCCAGCCAGGCCGCCGGAGGCCAGGTTGGTGGCGAAGAACTTCCAGAAGTCGGCCTTGGGGGAGTAGCGCGGGAACAGGCCCTTGATGGTGTCCTTGAACGCAAAGTTAAAGGCCTGGGTGGGGAAGTAGCGCACCACGTTGGCCAGGTTGCCACGCCAGAAGGAGGCGATGCCCTGCTCCGCGGCCACGCGGGTGAAGCAGTTGGCGATGCCCGTGTAGCGTGGGATCTCGCCCGACTTGATGCGCGGGTTGGAGTCCTGGGTCTGCAGCAGCAGCTTCACACGCTCGATGGGGGCCACGATGGTCTTGGACACCGCGCCGGCGGTGCCGCCCGCAGCCAGGTCGGCCAGGAAGGCCCACGCGTTGCTCTCACTGCGATTTGGTGGTTTGGGGGGAAGTTTGAGTTCACAGACGAGCGGGGGGCGGGGCGGGGCGGGGCGGGGTGGGGCGGGGCGGGGCGGGTGGACAAAGCAGCCACCAGGGCCCCTCCTCAACCCAAACACACCCAGCTGGCAAGTGCGATACGGATAATTTTGGGACAAAAGGACGTGGCGGATACCATTGGAGACAGGCTTCATGCAGGTGCACACCCCAAACCCCAGTGTCCCTTCCACCCTCATGTACTCACGCAGGGGCGGGGATGAAGGGGCCGGTGGCCGCGGGGGCACGGCTGTTCTTCATCAGACCGGCGAGGCCGGCCTGCTGGTAGGCCTGGGAAGACAGCATCCTGACTGCAAGGGGGAAGGGCGACCGCGCGTCGGCTTGGGCAGCGGGCATGCGAGGCAGGACCGGGGGCAGGGCGAACCCGGAGGGCGAAGCCGGGCACATAGTAGCCATGCAAACATGCCGTGTGATCAGGCGTAAGGTGACTGCGTCGAGCCAGGGGACCGCGGCGCTGACGCCAGGCGCAGCGGGAGGGCGGGGAAGGGACGGGGCAACCACTTGCCCGTGTGCAACCCTACGACCCAGCGCCCCCAGGGTGCAAGGGATCTGTTGCCCAGCACACTCCTTCAAGGCATCGCACCCCCTCCCGAGCCGGACAGTCCCCCTGTCATCAACCCCGAGGTGTCCTGCACCAAGCTGCCACACTGGGGCGCACCTTGCGAACAGGGAACACCTGCCCCGTCCAATTCCTGAGAAGCCGAGTTGCGCCTCGACGAGATCCAGAAAAAGAGGGGCGCCTTCAGGTTCACGGGACGTCATGAGCAGGGACGCCCTCCTGTACGCTCCTGCCGCACTGACCCCGGGGTCGAGTGGCCCCGGGGGGCGCCGATGAGTAATATTCGAGCTTGTCCAGGGGTGAGTCAGGGGGGGTCCTCCTCGGCCGCCTCATCCTGCCCGCTCTGGGACGTCAATGCTACAAAAACACTCCAGTGAGCGACAACTTCAGCGCATGACAGATGCGCCAGAAGGGGCAGGGAGCAGGAATTCGGGGGAACAGGGGGTCTATGGCAAGCACTGTATATGGAACGTGGTAGCCAGGGGGAGGCATGGCTGATCACTGGCATGGGGTAGGAGGGGCCGTGCAGCATGTGCACTGGCATTTCGCACAGAGGAGACATAATATTTGCACTGGGGAGACAGCGGAGCGCGAGGGAAGGGGTGGCCAGCTGCGCGCAGCCGCCTCCGGCAGGGCGGTGCGCATGCATCGTAGTGGCGCGGCGACGTTTCCTTGCATTGGTCGGCGGAGAGTCTGTCTCTCGAGGTTCACCAGTCCTTTCCGGCTTGCTCCTGGGTACGAGGGCGGTTGCGAGCCCTCAAGCCACGTGCAGCGAGTACCACCCCGGCGCCGCCGGCCGCCGGCCCCCCTGCCCAGCAGGGCAGCTCCGCGACTCCCCCGCGCCCCGCGCCACCGCCCCGCCGCGCGCGCTACGCCCTCCAGGACATGACGCGCGCCAGGTCGAAGCGGGAGGTGGCCAGCGGGTCGTCGAAGGTGGGCACACGCTCCAGCATCTCCGAGTCGGCCACGGTGGCCAGCCAGGCCAGCAGCCCGCCGCGCTTTGCGGCCAGCAGCCGCCGCACCTCGGCCAGCGTGGAGTGGCGCGGGTCCAGCGAGTGGCTCCACCCCTCCAGCACCAGGGTGGTGACCACCGTGGCGCAGATGTGCCCCGGCAGGCTCACCGCATGCTGGCGGCACATGTCCAGCACCACCGCCAGCTCCTCCGCGCCGTCGGCCTCGGACCCTGCGCCCAGGCGCCGCGCGGTGCGCGCCTCCTCCATGCGCGCGCCCAGGTCCGCGCGGAAGGCGGCGGGGTCGGGGCAGGTCTGCGCCTCGCCGGAGAAGCGCAGCACCCAGTCCGCCACGCTGCTGCCGTCCAGGCGCGAGAAGGCGTCGAACAGCCCGCACATGTTGGTGTGGTCCTTGGGCGACAGGCTCATGGCCATCCCCGCATCCAGCAGCACCATGCGCGGCCGGCGCAGCCACTCCACGGGCGGCGCCAGGTCCATGTGAAGAAGCCTCTGTGGATGCGAGTGTGTGTGTTGGGGGGTGGGGGGTTTGTGTGTGTCT